GAGAAAAAGCATTTGAGCTCCATACTATTTCAGAAATAATCCTTGACGTGGTTTAAACAGGATGGCGTTTTATCACAGCAGAATTTAACTTTATCTCCGGTAGAATTCTGATCAGGCATTAGCTCCGCCTCCTCTTCTTTCTTTTTTTCAAGCTAAGGACCCAAAATCCGCGTTTCTCTAATACCCCTTTCACACCAACGCGGTTCCAGGGCCGGTTCGGAGCTGGAGCTTGAAAAGCACCGGTTTTTCCTGTTCACACCGCAGCGGGGCCGCCTCTAAGCTCCGGAATCCGGTTCGTTTCGAGCACCAAAAAGTTGTCCGTCTAGAAGCAAGAACCGCATACGTCACGCTTACGTCGGAGGGGGGCGAGATTAACCTGAGCTAACAGTTAAGGCGAGTACGGCAAATAAAAGTTGTAACAAGCAGTAGTGCTGAGCAAAGTGACTAGAACGCAACCACACACTTGAAAAAAAAAACACGCTTTATAAAGTCAGGCAACACTAACCAGGCTTCTTGTGATTCTGTTTATTTGTACCTTACTTTGACCATCCGTTCGCTGTTATTGATCATTGTGGAGAGCAGGCAGACGTTTTGTTTTGTATTATAGCATGCTATCGGATGGAATCAATACATGGGCTGCACAGGTTGTCATGTCCGACTATCACAAGTAGAATCATAATGAAAAATACGCCGGTAAAATGTGCCTGTAGAAAACGGCTTATTCCACAATAGGATAGCAACAAGTAGTCAAGTTATAGTCAGTTTAACTTCGGTTGCTATGCTAACATCACCCATTTTATATCAGAGACACTTTCATAACAGCGTTGTGATGCCAAACAGCGTCAATTCAGACTGACACACATTCACTTATGGGGAATTGGGGATATGTATCAGCTGCTTGTGTGACAGTCAGACAGTGAACCACGGCACTCTGGAGAAAAGTATAAGGTTGGAGAAGTCGTTATTTAATTTAATCTGGCTTCGTATGATTAAAAGCAACACGATCATCGACCCGACGCAGTCCCCGGCCCGTTGTTGTTGTGAGCTCCGTTGGGGAGAAAATCAGCGACGTAAACTGTGACGTCATGCAGCGGCAGCACCAGTCGGGCTCTGAGCGGTGTGAACAGAGCGGGAGCTGAACCGAAGAACCGGTCCTGAACCAGAAAAGCTCTAGCACGGAGCTAGAACGGGAAAAGCCTTGGTGTGAAAGGGGTATTACAGGGCTGCAAAAGAGGGGTTTGAGCAGTATGAGGCCTCCTTCACACGGGAACGTTTGCGTTTATGCACAGTATGCATATTCAAAAAAGTCTTCCGTTCACATGCATTCGTTTAATTTAACGTGTCTGTTCAAACGAGACCGCTGGAAACGCTGTAGTACATATGCCGGGACTGTAAGTGGCGCTGTAACTTCCGCCAAAATACACCAAAAGCAGCGAAGAAGAGCAGCAATGTTGCCATGGCTACCCTTCTGTTTATGCCCCGCGGTGTATTTAGCAACATGTAGTTCATGTAATTCTCCATGTCCACTTGTTGCTGATGGTTGTGGTAGAGGAGCTGTAGATCTTGCACTAATATCTGTAGCATGGTCAGTAGCAGTAGCACTAGCAGTAGCTACTGACAGGAGGAAGTGTGTGTGGCGATTGCTGGTATTCAGCGGGATATAGTAATTTCCTCAGCATATGGATAAATGCAACGGGGAAGTTAACTGAAAGAAACCGAATCTGTGGATATTGCATCGACCGACCAAGAAGCACGTCTCCGTGGAGAGGACGCGCTCAGAAAGAGAGATATTCTCTACAAACACCGGGTGAGATCGCTCCTCTGGGACACGCCGGTCCTCTGCCTACAAACATTTCTCTTTTTGCCGCCGACGGGCGCAGGAGCAATGAACAATAATGGCCTGGATTAGGCAGTAAAGACAAGTTTGGTGTATCGCAGAGCAGACTGTTTAATTTTGTTTGTGTTGTTTGGCTGGAAAATTGTCAATATAATGGATCAATGCATGAAATCTGACTCTGTTTATTTTGTTTAAGGAGTATATTGGGCGTTAACAATTCTGGTTTGCCTTTTATAATATTATTTCATTCAAGAACCCCTTGTGCGTTTAATTAACACAGCTATTTTTGATAGTTGCTACAGCAGTGAGCAGGAGAGGTGGGGCTATCGTTATTTTTTCAGGAAATATTCGTATAGAGGTGATTACACGGACTCGGTTGACCCCCAGAGCGTTTCGTTTGCAAATCTATCCACCTTGGGACCCGTTATCGTTTGTGGGGTCAGTTTCTATCGGCCTCGTGTAAATAATAGGGCTATACGCACGCGAAACTATGCAGATACAAGCAGTTTTCTCCTCGTGTAAACGGCGCCTGAGGCATGGCTACAATGGGTGATCTGTTTGGTATTTTAAAAAAAAAACGTCACAGACATGTTTTTTTTGGCCCTACAATATATGTTTCAAATATAGTCCCCGACCAGACCTAAACAAATATGGAGTGTGGACTTCTACTTGGAGAGGTCCCAGTTCACCTCCTGCCCTGCCGTGGTGCCCTTGAGCAAGGCACCGGACACCCCCCTTCCCCCCTCACTCCCATTGCTCCCCGGGTGCTGAACAATAGCTGCCCACTGCTCCTAGTACTAGACTCCTGGTACTAGGATGGGTTAAAAGCAGAGGCCACATTTCACTGTGTGTGCTGTGTGCTGTGTGCTCTGCATGTGTGACCATTAAAGAGGGTTTCATCCCTCCCAATTCTATTCTAATTCTTCTAGCATGATAGGTCCACTTTAAAGGGTGGTAGCCCCTTTTTGCTGGAACAATTGGGCACACATTAAAAGCAGTATTTTATGACTTGAAACAAATGTATCAGTTTGCACAACAGCTTATTTCAAATGTCAGTCGTGTACATTTCTATACAGTCAGCTGGCTATATATACCTCAACAGTAAATATCACTACACAAAGAGAGGATGTGAGTAAAACCTTTATTGACTTGAGAGGGATGAATAATTAAAAGGTGGTGAGCCAGGCCTCCTTCACCTGGTTCGGGGGCTTTGCCATCAAAGGCCCTCTCTATATGTGAAAGACAGGTTGCTGGAATTCACCTGTTGCTCCCCCCCTTCCTCCCTTTACCCCTCCCCCTGCTGTGCATACACCCTTGATCTGTGTGGGAATTGCATCCCACTGTGATCACATGACAATGGCTGTATTGTCCAGCTCATCTTATCTGCTCCATGGGCCTGCCTCTCATCCCGCCCCCCCACTTCTTCCTCATAACCTTTTTTTATTCAAGATGTTAATCTCAATCTTGCATATATCTCAAGCTCATATCAAACATGCACAGGAACCCTGAAATAATATTACCAATAGGAGCTGTAGTGAGAACCCAAATGATCCAAATCATTCTCACTGGACATTTTAGATTTACTTGACCCTGCATGCCCGCTCCAATACATCCTATTTTGAACTTGTGTGAATAGAGAAGCTCATTGTCTGGAGAATTATTGCCAAACCATTGTTGATGTTTCTGTTAAGGCTAGTGGGAAAACTCAAGAAAACCAACAGCCAAAGCTAAAGAAGGGGCATGTTCCCAAAGATGCCAGGGAAAAATGTGAACTGTTCCTAAAGGCTGAGGGCTAGATCATCAGACCAATTCAAGGAACGACAAGATAACCATGATATATATGTCCTCCTTCACACTACCAGATGCCACGACCTAAAACACACTGAGCTTTTCCAGTAGTTGAGAGCCTTTCGGACAATGTCATTAAATTAGTGAAATGTAAACTCCAGACAATTTCTGGATTTGACTATCCTAATATTGTCCTGAGTACATTGCTTCAGTTTGTTTTCCCTCAGTCTCTAGTTTATAAGAAAAAGAAAAAGAGGCCTGACGAAGGAACTGGCCACATTCCTGCAGTGTGGCCGTGAAACTTTAATGCTGCTGGAGTGCAGTCAGGTGATCGAGAGAAGAGCTCTCCTTTTAACATAACCGCTAGAGTGTAACCACTTAAGGCCCTCCTCCAGCCACTCCACCCATCTCCTCAGCTCCCTCCCACCTGAAACCTAAGGAGAAACCTGAGTTCAGGCATCTGTGTTTGTTTGCTGGGAGAGAAGGGGGCAGGGAGCACATGATTGAGAGTAAATAAAAAAAGAGAGAGAGGGATCAGGGAAAGGTGAAGGGCCCTTATCAATGAGTGTACAACCACTCTCACTTCTTCTTTGCTTTTCCCACCAGAAATCTGCATTTAAAACCCATGACGCTGAAGCCTCTGATAAGTGGATTGACACCAGCCACTAAATGGCCGCTCAGTTTTTTACAATTACAACAATGCTTCAGGCTTTAAGAGCAAGGTTTATCCCTCAACATTGATTCAGCAGTCATTGCAAAGTGCTTCTATGACGTCTAAAACAACAGGCTGGACTTTGTTGCTTATCAATAAGTCAAAGACTATCATGTGCTGGAAACAGATATCACTACACAGTCACTGTGGTTTTCCAGAATACTTGCAGCACCTCACAGCAAAGGAGGGTTGCTATGTAGATTCTAGTCCTACATTTGATGTGCCTTTTCAAATCGACGGTGGTTGTGGTAGAACTGAAACATTGAAGACAGATGCAAAAAAAAGAAGTCATTTTGGACAGTCCCCCCCCTTTAGGGAAAAAGTAAGTATATTTCAGAATCTAGGCCAGACTGATTGGTTCAAAAGTTTCCCAAATGTAATGGTGGCCGGCCGGGTGCCGCCCCACCTCTTCCCACATTCTAGATTGTCATTAAAAAATACTTACATTTTAATTAATTTTATACTTTTTAAATTATTAACAAGGTACATATTATATAGTTGGTGTCAATAAAATGTATAATCACAGTGTTTATACATGTAGGGCCGGAGTGTAAGCAAAAACAAAATAGTGTGGTGGGTTGACATAATTCACTCACGGAACTATGGGTGGGGGTATTGTTCCGCACGTACATTTTAGTTTACAGGAACTTCCGTTTTCCGGTCAGTCAGTTTCCCCGGGCTTGAGTTTGTTTACATGCTGTTCCATGTTGAATAAAATACCAGCTTTGTATTTTTACACACCGCCTCGGACTCCCGTCTCTCGGAACTTCAATGGCGATCAATATGGAGAAGGAAAATTCAGTTAAATCACTCAAAGAAACCCCTTTTAATGGGAGGACACTGGAGGGAAAACTAAGAGTCAAAAAGCTTGGTCCTGATCAGCCCGACATCGCCATTAGGCAGGAGTCAACGGACAGACGTAAGCATTTTAATCGCTGTTTCTCAAAGAGCTGGTTTATCAAAAAGGCTTGGCTAACTGGCTGTAGCGACACCAGCACTTTATTTTGCTTCCCCTGCCTCCTTTTCCGGACTTCTAGATCAGACGTAGCATGGACTCAGAAAGGTGTTAATGACTTAAAACACCTATCAGAGAAAGCAAAAAAGCATGAACAAAGTAAAATCCACATGGAAAATGCTATGCAACTAGCCATGTTTGGAAGAGTAAACATAGCTGTCCAACTCGACGAAGACTACAGGATAGGCATCCGTAGACATAACGAGGAGGTGGACAAAAACCGGCACATCCTTTCTAAAATAATAGACTGTGTCAAGTTCTGTGGTGCCTTTGAGCTTGCCCTGCGTGGACATGACGAGAGTGAAAGCTCAGAAAATCCTGATATTTTTAGAGGGTTGGTGGATTTTGTTGCATCACTGGATGTGGTTCTAAAAGAGCATCTGCAGACTGCCACTGTGTTTAAGGGAACATCTAAGACAATACAAAATGAACTCCTTGACTGTATGCTATCAGTTTTGAGAGAGTGCATTTTGGAAGAAATCAGGAGTGCAGACTTTGTCTCCATCCAGGTTGATGAAACAATGGACATTTCCACTCAGTGTCAACTCGTCCTTGTGATCCGTTACATTGACAAAGCCCATGATGTGCAAGAGAGGTTTTTCGAGTTTATATTTCTCCAGAGTGCCACAGCTGATTCCATCGCCACCGCACTTCTGGATAGGTTGAGCTCCATTCTCCCTGATGACCAGAAGAGCAAGCTCATTTCCCAGGCATATGATGGTGCAAGTGTCATGAGAGGAACCACAGGTGGTGTGCAGAAGAAGGTTCAAGACGTCTATGTGAATGCACACTATGTCCACTGCTATGCTCACCAACTAAACCTCATCATGCAGCAGGTGACATCTCACATCACCAGAGTGAGACAGTTCTTCTCTGACCTGGGTGGAATCTCTGGTTTCTTTGCTAGATCTCCCAAGAGAACCAACGTGCTCGATAAAGTGGTGGCCCACAGACTCCCAAGAGCATGCACGGTGAGATGGAACTTCCACAGCTGTACTGTGAAGACTGTGTTTGAGCACAAAGATGACCTCCTCCAGTGTTTTGAAACCATCAGGGACTCCGGCGAATTTGATCCTAACACTACGAGAGAAGCTGGAGGCTTTGTGAGAATACTGGAGGATGATACCTTCCGCTTCTTCCTGGAACTGTTCCATCGCATCATGCCACATGTGGATGTTCTCTACAACCAGCTCCAGAAGCGGACCGTCAACTCAGTCTTTGTTCAGGGAATCATGCAGGAGTTCACGGACAACGTTAAAAAGATCAGGTAAATTAATATGTATGTTGTGCTGTTTAATATTCCAGAAATGGTGTAATGTCGATGCTGGAACAACATTATTATGTACAATTTCAATTTTTTTACCTGTCAACTAAAGCTATAACTTTTCTCTTCAGAGATTCCTTCCCTACTTTCTGTGGAGAATACAGCAGCTGTGCATCTCAGCAGCAGCTGGGCAAGAAACGGCGCACACTGGGCCCAGGTGAACTTCAGATGCTCGCTACAGAGGTGAGATAGAAGCTAAATGTGTGGTCTTTTACATTGTTTTCATTTGTATTAGTGCTGCATTGTGCAGAAAAGACATTACACACCTTAAAGTAGGTCCTTTTAATACATTTTCTAACTTACTAATGCAAGATGAAACTACAGAGGTGGGACAAATGAAGTGTCCCCTTTCATAAATTATTTAAAATCTCTACAAAAAAGGCCTGAGTCCAACAGTTAGAATGAAAAACAAACATAGCTAGATGTAACAAAATGACATACAGCCTAAGAGACAGTCACAGACATCACTTAATCAATTGCAAGTTGAATTTAATTGCATTCTTTGTCATGTCAGTTTAAATACTACAATACACTCACAGTATACAAAACATCAGCAACTAACGGCCATAGCATTTTATTCACATCATTATCACACTCGTCAAACTATTTAGTTAGCCCTGGTGCTCAGAAGCTTCTGCATTTGATTTGCTTCTCCACTCTTTTATTCAGGTTTTTCCTTTAATTAGTCTTTTGTACAAATCTCAGTTATATAAAAAAAAACTATATATACTTACCAGTGGTGGTTCTAGACCAATTTGACTGGGGGGGGCCAGGCTGGGGCCAGTTATTTTCTGAGAGGGGCACAATAAATGCAGGACGAAAAAGTCAAAGACAGTATGAAGTAATTGCGCATAAGAAAACAATGCAATACAGTTATTGGTACACATATTTATTTCAGATACTTATAGTTACAGTTTTTACGCTCTAATGGGTCCGACTAGAATGACAAATAACGTTAGTTCCGCCTATTCCGTCAGCCAAGAAACAGTTTAATCATACACTTTTCATTTTCAGGGGGGTCCAAAGTCAGTGTTACAGGGGCACTGGCTCCCCCCTAGAACCGACCCTGATACTTAGCAATCTTGTACATAGTTTACTATACGATATATAAATCCTGAATCTACCAGTATTTACAGCTAAGGTGACCTAATGTTCAAGATATATCGACAGTGCCAGAAACAAGCACTGAAACAACTGTCACTTTTAGAGTGACACTATGGTCATTTGCATGGTTCCTATCAAATGTATGCATTGATCAAATCGTTTTTACAGATTATATTTTGGTATGGTACAACTTGATATATTGTAATATTGACATTTCCATATTGCACTAAATTGGTGCTTTCATTTTGTAGGTCTGTGACACTATCTTGGGCCATACCAAACAGCGGTTCTCCTTCACCAAGCACCTGATCAGTGCTACACTGCTGCAGGGAGACAAATTCCAGCAGTACAACCGCCATTTTCCTGAAGAAGCACTGGACACCACGGTGGAGGCTTACCCACTGCTGAACCAGAGCAAGCTGAAAAACGAACTGTCACTCATCTACAGCAACGATGAGTTTAAGAACTGCAGGGGTGCTGTGGCTCTGTACCAGCTCTTCAAGCAGAACAATCTTCAGGACACCTTTTCAGAGACTGTGGCACTGCTGAAGATCCAGATCACCACTCCCATGACCACGGATGAATCTGAGAGGTGCTTCTCAACACTGAAGAGAATCAAGACCTTCCTCAGGAACACAATGTCCAAGGATCGTCTCAATGCCTTGGCCATGCTTTCTATGGAGAGAAAACTTGTGAAAGACATCCCTGACTTCAACCACAGAGTCATGGACAAATTTGCGTCCCTCAAGGGCAAAATCTATGTACAGAAAATAGGTGCAGTTTTGGTATAGTCCCACCTGGAAAAAGATGCACCAGCCGCCAATGTTCACAATAGTCTCTTTGAGTGAAAAGTCTCGTCATCTATTGGATAGATTTGTACACGCATTCATTTACCATTCAGGATTCATTGCTTAAAGGTCCCATGTCAGGCTAATATGTCCTCAGTGAAATCTTAATTCCTCTGTAGTATTCTTATATCTCAGACAATACCAAGTAGTGAGAGATAGAGGAAGAAAGAAAATGTCAAAGCCTTCTATGCTGTAGGCTTAGCGGTTCCATGTAAAGGAACAGGAAGCAACTCTTGGGTTTCATGTTTCAAGGAATTGACATTGCTCTTTTTACTCTATTCAAAACCACACCATGATCCAAAGAGTGCTATGTTAAATGACAGTGTCTTTACTATGTCAAATTGTACGACTTTAAAAGGCACTGTGTTCCCTTGCCAGTCAGGTATAGAGCTTGTCGAGACTTGGCACAGCCTAGCAACAGGAACAACTCCATTAATCACACTTTTGTACAGAAGTTGTATAACCATGATCAATTAAACTATAAACATCCTTTCATTTATTGTATTATTATGTACAGTAAAGCCATCATGGAATGCATCATCACTTCTGGGACGCTCCTTCAACACACTACATGCGGAACATAAGTCTCCGATAAAGAAATGTAACATTTACCATTCTCATGCACACTTAATCCTGTAATTCAGATAAGGCATTGTCTAATGTTGTTAACCACTATGACTCCAAACAAACCTGTGCCCCTCTCTTCATTTCCAGTATTGGTTGAGGTGAATATGGTAAACACTCAATAGTTTACTTGTAGATATCACCATGAAACCTAACCTAATTTTGATGGAACACCCCTAAAAGATATGTCTTGTACATTTCCATACATTTTGAAAAAGTCCCCAAGTTGATTACTTACATTGTTCTGAAATGTAAATATGCAAATGAGTAGGGGGTCATAAAGGTGGCAGTGGCAGAACACATAGATATAGTTACATGCCACCTTAACCCTCTTTTGCCAAATTGAAAAAGAGTCTATCTATCCACACAGAGAGCTGGCTGCTATTCAAGCACACACTGGGCAAAAGGTCAATAGTTTATCACACTGATAGAAACAAGTGGCATCCACAAAACAGTCTTTTAAAGCATGCTGAGCTTATGCAACCCCAATGTAATCTGTTGAAGGTACAGCAAGCTGAAGGAGCCAGCCTGTGCAGACTGTGAGTTTGGGAGATCCTTTCGCCTGGCAACACCCAGCTGTGCCACTAATCCTCTGGTTTAAAGAGGAACAGACAGACAGAGAGACACACACACACACACACACACACACACACACACACTTGTTGCTAGTGTTGCTTGTTCTTACATTAATAGCCAGTACCGTCATGGTTTTCCAAGAAAGACACAAAGTTCTATGAAAATCAACTTCCCCTCCTTAACCAATACACACATGTTTAGATGTCCTGTCTGTGGGTGAGTGGGAGTCCAATAACTAATATCACAATCAATGTCACCTCTTAATATGACACCAAACACTTCATTTTGCACAGAGCACTGTTAGGGTAGTTTACAATTTGCAGTATATTCATATATAGAGCTGTGGTGTAATTCAGTGTCAGAGCTTAAAGGGATATACTGTTTTATAGTTAAGCTAACCTTTTCATCTATCAGAATTGTACCTGTGGAAGAAACCTTTTAATCGTTTATTTGAACCGGGACAGTGCACATCGATGAACACTTTAAAACAAAACAATGCTTACAAGCGTAAATGAGCCGGATTTTTAGCTTTAAGCTCATTTCCATCCGCAGTCCCCTCACATACAACACACAAGAACATGACATTTATATACATGGCTTATGTGAGTATGTGAGGAGGCTGTGCTTTGCTGAGTTTTTATTAGCACGTCCTTCTATATCAGCCGAGAGCAAGGGCGACATTTGCGAAATGAACACAGAGACCAGGATCAAATAAGAGACACAGGAAGGTGGGAGCGGAGGAGAAAGGATGAAAGAGAGGAGAAGGGGATAGCCGGCAAATCTGCACATCCGGAGAGTAATATGTCAAAGGAAACAAGAGTCATGCATGCATGGGACTCTGTGTTCCTCTGTGTGGAATATTGAAAACAACAGCGGTTAGATACACTGTGTGACTGAAAGCTCTACGTTTCATACACATTTTCACATATAGAAACCCATGTTAAAGTGTGATAAGAAGTCATTTAGTAACTTTTCCTCCATACTCAGTCTATAATTACTTCGACCAGTGGTTTGAAGGAGCAAAGTGAAATGATAAGGATCCTCATATCTGTACCAATGTTTCACATAGTTTCATATTTTTGGGAGCCTGCTCCACTATCCCTTAATCTTGATATAGTGCCCAGGGATCCCCACATCCTGCCTAACTGTTGCTATAATTAGCATGCAGCAAGGATACATGCTAAGTTTAGCACAAAACCTGTTCTATATCAGTTGAACAGAGGACAACTTAGTCCGACACATCTATTTAGGACTCTAGCCACAGCATGCCACATTAAGACAATTAAGAATGGGATTAAGATGCTAGATACAGCTTGTTCCTGTGATTCTGAAGGCAATAAGGAGCCTAATCTCTAAAGAAGTGGTGTGACTTTTTGAGAACTGCACCTATTCCCATATTATTATAAGTGAGGAATGAGCCAGGCTTGCTGTTACACTCTGCTTCCAGGCTTTTTGATAAACTATGCTAATCGCCTATAGTCTAAAATGATCACAAATGTAAGAAATGTGTGTGCACTCCATTGATGTGATTGTTTCCAACACACCTGTATTATTGGCCACATTGAATTATTTTTTCAAATGCCATGGGGCCTGCAGATGAGATTTATAGAAGTTTGTTTTGAGATTTAATGTGAAAATATGACAAATGTGACAAGTACGGAAGAATATTAGTGCCAGGCATTTGCTTTTTGAGAGTAAAGTTACAATTATGAAAAATACATTCCTTAAATTCAGCTCCCCATTATGTCATTTTATTTGCAACTCTAGCTGTTCATAATTCTATGATACTTTTGTTTCCAATTTTCTGTCTCACTTTATTTTTGCCCTTCTGTGGCGGGAGGGAACTTTGAGACGTGGCCTAGTAGAACAAAAACAATTTAAATAATTTCTGACAAGCATTGGGAATATTGTATACATCGATTTCTTCATTTGCTAAGAAATTGACCTCAACAAAATGAACACAAGGTTTTTGATATATTATTGTTCACTCAATAATTGAATAGTCTGAGAACATGGTGATACAGGAGGTGTAATGTTTACCATGTTAATAATTAGCTTATCTGCTCTTAACACAGAGAAAAGCTTAGACGAATGGGAGTGTAAGTAGTTGAGTAGGTATTTGGTCATAAAACAAAGTGAAAAGATAATAAGTATCCCTTCTTGCATATCTTTAATAGCCACCTTTAGATAAACAAACACAGCAGCGTGTCACAGATTGAACACAATGTCCCTGCACTTAAAATACAATGCATGATGTAAAACAGTGATAGTAAGCTTTGTTGTAATTATTTGAATGGTTGCTGAAACTCCATCGGAAATGTCCCAAAAAGGCATCTTACACGCGGAGAATGTTCACTAAAGTTACACTTTTAGTCCACAGTTCTCTTCATACAGCTGAAGTCCGCTCTCGTTTGGACCTCCCAGTATCATTCCTGCTGCAGTCACTGATGGAGGGGAACCCAACCCTCTGCTCCATCCATTGGGCCACACTGAGCAGCTTCCGGTCTTGGAGGGCAGGGCCTATGAGCTGTAAACCAATGGGAAGGCCCCGTCTTGATAAAGCAGTTGGCACAGAAACAGCAGGGAGACCTGGGGTGAAGAAAGAGGTTAGTTTGTAGCGTGATAAAAGGCGGAACATAATTTAAACTCACTCAAAGGTACACTTTAGTCTTCGCCAAAATAATCATGTGTTTCAGATAATAACAAAGAAAAGAGAGAACTGAAATACTCGTTTGCCTTTTTAAAGGGGGCCTATTATGCTCATTTACAGGTTAATTGTTTCCTTTTGCGCCTCTACTGTGACATGTTTACTTCCTTTAATGTTCAAAAAGCTCTTTGTTTTCTCCCTCTGCCTGAAATCAGAACCCAGTCTGCTCTGATTGGTCAACCGCCTACAGATGTTTAGCCTACCGTTATCATGTACATTGTGTTGGAGGTACATAGTTACATAGTGATGGCGTTTCAGGCCCAAAAACCTATATAACACACTACAGGAAAGGGGAAACCCCAAAAAGCACAATAGGGCCAATTTAAACTTCCCTATAAATGATGTGGTTATAATTTATGAGATTAACTAAACTGAAGTGGGTTTTTTAGAGAAAAAATGTTTTTCGGTGTGTGGGAGTATCCATGAATGCATCCTCCCACACTTCCTATGCGTGCTTGAACAGTTCTTCCTGAAGGCCTTGCTGCCTACCTGCCATGTTGACAGGCTGGGTAAAGACGTCTTCCTGCGTGCTGCGTGTGCGGTTGTCTTCCTGTGTGAAGTCAGAGTAGCGGGCCGCATCAGTCAGAGTGGTGGGCGTCAGCAGCACGTCGACACCAGAGCTGAAGACATGCTTAAAGTCTTCTGCGATCAGCCGCCGCACTTGCTGAGCCTTCACAAAGTAGTGCTCGTAGTTCCTGGCAAAATGAGAGTGAGGAGGAGGGAGACAGTTAGTTCTTGATGTTTCAGAAACATTACAGCTCCAGCATACAATATGAAAAAGAGGCCAAAGAGAAAAAGGTTAAATAAAGGTGCAACTGCACTTACTGTTTGAGCAGGAAGTAGTTCCCAGACAGTATCCTTCCTCTCACTACATCGTTAAAGCCCTCATGTCGGCTCGAGGCGTACATGGCCTCCGTCGAGCTATCCACCTCGCTGCGATGGCCTGAAAGGAGAGCCATTTCATAATGTTAGATAGTCAAAGAGATTCCCTGTGTAATCTGAAAGTTAGGTGGCAACTAATGTGAAATGGTCCTCACAAGGGGTGGGTGATATATGTCATATAGTAGATGTATTGCGTCTTGTTCTAAGTGGGATTTAGTAAATTACTATTACATTCAGACAATTCTTTAATTGTCACTTTGTTTTTAAGATACTGGCATGAGATTTGGTTTGGTTTTTCAAAATAAAAGCAACCTTTCAATTAACAGGGTTAGGGTTACACAGTATAAACAGCTGTGTTTTTTGTTTGTTGAAAAAACATGGAAATAAGAAGATATTGCAGCAATGCCTAAAAAAGTTGAGATATGATCTATATGCCATTTCCCCAAGCACTGGTGCACAATGCACAGTTTATATATTGTACTCGGGTTCATACCGTATTCTAGGCCGTCGAAGCGGGCCATGTTAGACGCCACCTCAGTGGTACACAGGACGTGGTAGCACACGATGGAGTACTGGGTGTGGGGGAGAGATACTTGCTTCACCCGCGCCCCCGCCCTCTCAAACATGTCAGCAACACGACTCCACTGTGCTACAGTCTCCTCAGACAGCCCGGGGGCGTGGTACTCCTGACATACGTGAAGAGACA